GGCAGCCAGGCGCACGCCTCTCGTCTCAGACGCTGGAGTTCAAAGGCTAACTCCACCATCTGTGGCTGGGGCACCCCTCCACCCGTGACCTCATCTGGAAGACAGGGACAGTGACAGAGTCCTCGTCATAGGCCAGGTCCGTGGGGCGTGTCAGGGTACACAGAGAGTGCTCCAGTCCCGATGTCCACGGTGCTGAGGGGACCCAGCTCATCCCCGCCCCTGCACAAGCTAAAATCAAAGGCTGCCCTTCACCACATCTGGCTGGACTGACATAAGCTCTCCCCACTCCCAGAAAATTAAATGATGCGAAACAGAAGGTTTTGGACAGAACAAAACATTCTCACACGGGGCTCAGAGCCACAGAGGGTCTGTTCTCTAAGGTGGACAGATGGGAGCTGTGGCTGCTCGGGGCAACAGGGGAGCATCTGGACACGGGGCTACACCGCCCAGGCTGGGTGGAGGCCCAGGAAGAGCCTCTGGCACCCTCTCCAGGGCTGTCCTGGAAAGCCGAGCCCCCGCCACAGGCGGCTGCACGGTGGCCGGCCCACCTTGTTGATGTCGATGGTCTCTAGGGCCAGCTGCCGGAGGCGCTCCCTGCGGTCACGGTTGCTCTCGGAGGAGGAGGCCACGCCCCCGCTCCCGGTCTTGCCCCCGGGGCGATGCTGGAAGTCCATGGTGACGGCCTTGGGGCTTTAGCAGACAAGGCCTTTAGCAGACGGGGAGACACCTGTGGAGGTCAAGAGGAGAGTAAGAAGGATGGCTCAGAACTCGGGGCTGCTGCTGGGACCTCCCTGGGCCAGGCCACCAGGCTGGAGCCTGTGACAGCCCCTCACCCTGCACTCCCAGAGCCAGGGTCTAACCAGCCCTGAGGGGGCCACCCCAAAGTGCACCCAGTCTCTTCCAGGAGGCCGAGGCCCACTGTGGACAGGCACAGACACGAGGAAGCTGGAGCCTGTCTCCAAATGAGCGTATGTGAGGGATGGAGAGGAAGCCACTCCAGCCCAGAGTGCCAAGGCCTGGAGACCTGAAATGGAGCGGGGAGCCCAGAGAAGGCATAAAGGGAAGACAAGGCCAAATTCTCACAAACGAGTCACCACCACCAGGGAGCCTTCCCGGACTGCCTAAGCCCCCAGTGTTCAAGCCTTCCTCTGAACTCCCTCTCTGGTTGGCTGCGCTTACTTGTCCCCAGCCTAATTCTATCTCTTGGGTTCGCTGTAAACTTATTGGGAGGTGAGGACACTGATCTTTGTGTCCTGACTGGGTAACATCCGGGAGATCGGTCACATCTGCTTGTGGCGCAGGAGGGCTCTGCTGAGTCCCCAACACCCTCTTCCAGATGCAGGCCTGCCACGGTTTCCCACGCCCTTTCAGGCTCCGTGCAAACCTGAGCTCCAGGCAGCCTCCTCTCATCTCCTGGCACTCTTCCCCTTGAGTCACAGAGGCTGTGCTGTGGCTGTGAACGGGGAGGAAGGGGCCCCAAGGCGAGGGACACAGATGCCTCTGGACTCTGGGAAAGGCAGGAAACGAGTTCTCCCCCAGAGCCTCCAGAAGGAATGGAGCCCTGTGGACTGGACTCGGACCCCAGAACCAGAAGCCGATACAGCCGTGTCATCTGAACGACTGCATCTGCAGTGATGTGCCACGGTGGCGGCAGGTGTGCAGGGGCACGCTGAGGGACAGGCCACGGTGGCGGCAGGTGTGCAGGGGCACGCTGAGGGACAGGCCACGGTGGCCGCAGGTGTGCAGGGGCACGCTGAGGGACAGGCCAACTGTGCTGCTGACTTGCGGTGGAGCCTGAAGTCACCCCTTAATCTATGGGGGCCCAGGATCCCTCCCCACCCAGTTTTTATTCCCTGGGCAAGTTGATGAAAATGATCCAGCGTGGTGACTGGTGAGGCGGACCTCCCGGCTCACTGCAGCATCAAAGATGCCCCATCACAAGTTCAGACATCATAAAAGCCCACCCAGAGATGCCCATTTTTACGTGTTGTCACGTAAACTTCGAGAAACCACCACCGTGACCATCGCCATCCCTTCACAAAACAAAGAACATTCCATTGTGAAAAAGGAGACTGTGACAGCAGAAGGACTGTCCTTTGCTGGGAACGCCACCCTCTGGCCCCAAGGAACCCTCCCTGCCTCCGGCTTCTTGACCACGCATTCTTCAGAACCAAGGAGAACTGCATCCTCTCCGTGCTGGCGCCATCAGCCGCAGGCCACGCCAACTCCCACCGTCCCTGCTGCCAGCTTACAACTGCCTGGGAGGCTCTGTCTCCGGACGGCGCACAGGCGGGCGGGATTGTGTGGGTGCCGCCCGAAAGGTTCATGAAGTGCCTAATTTTTCTCTGGAGGACATTCAAGCATTTCCTGGTCAAGCGACATGAAACTCACATCAGGGGATGTGCGTGGGGAGCCCAGCGAGCAGCCTCCCACCAGGCCGCGGCTGCACTTGCCTCTCCACGCCTCACAGAAACCACAGTCCTCCACGCACCTCAGCACCGAACCAAGCCCTCGCTGGGGGGAACATGCAAGAAGGCAGGGAATCGGCCTTCTTTCACGGATGCACCCCAAGAACCCGGGGGGGCCTGGTGCTGGGAGGCACTCCCACACACAGATCTTGGGGAGTCATCAGCGCTCCCCTCTCCCAGGAGGACAGCCTGTTCCTTTCATCATGAAAGAATTCAGCAGCATGCGAACGCCCTGCTTGTCCCCGGTCGTGGCCCCTCCTGGACCATGCCCCCACTCTGAGGTTAAGCTCTGCAGAGCCATCACTGGTCTCTACTCCCAAGTCTGCACTCTCCGCAGCGCCCGCCCATGTGTCCTCATGGCCAGCAGCGTCTGGCGGAGAGAAGAGCAGACGGTCTGTGGAAGACCCAGGGCCCAGGAGGAGCGGGGCTCAGTCTCAGGAGTGACCTGCGCTTCGCTCCTCCACGCAGGAAGGCGCAGAGCAGCTTCTGGGGCCAGGACAGGTGCAGGTGGCCACACCAAGAGCCACCAACCTATCCTGATGTACTTACTTCCCATCACATTTTAGTGACATTTCCAGAATGTTCTAACGACCCAATGGCTGGGAGGACCTGGAAAAGGAACTTAGATGGCAAAATGCTAACAAAGCCAAGAGTTCAAATCCATCTAGGGCGAGCCTAGTTACTTCTCAAACTGGCCAGACAGAACACCCCAGCGGCCAGTGGCTGGCTCAGGACACAAGCTCCAGCTGTCACAGGGAGCTGTCACCTGTGGAGTCTGCCCACAGAAACCCAAACCCAGACCAACACTCAACCACTCACCAAGTAAAACTCTGATCCAAAACCCAGAAGCCATCTGAACCCAAGCCTAGCCACCGCAGCATCCCTCCCCAGCAGCTGAAACGTGGCGGCACCCTGGGAAAGCTCCCACGCTCTGATCCCCCACGACCTTCGACTAGATCAGAACTTTATTTCCAGCAGAACTGGCATAAAAGGACCTCTGGAGTTAGAGACACAGGCCCAGCAGAGCAAGGGGGCCCAGCGTCAGGCTGAAAAGAGGGGACCGAATCACGACCTGCTGACTGGGCAGCGGGAAGTCCTGCGGTTCCTCGGCACAGCTCAGGCGGCAGGCGGCCCAGCACAGATGCCCCCCCCCCGCCCAGAGGGAGGCCAGGAGTCTTTTCTGGGGAAACAGCACAAGAGGAAGAATCCTCAAATACGAACATTCGGGGTCCCCACACCTCAAAGAAAAGCCCCGCTCCTCGCCAGACCACTGGGCAGTTGGCCTCCCGGATGAGAAGTGGCGCTCACACAGAGCTGCCGGCCGCTTTGTTCTTAAAGAGAAACACACGCATCTGAGAACAAAGAGACTGATGGGAATCCCAGTAAGAGATTGCTGCCTCCCTCCTTCGTTATTGGGGGAAACCGCTGCACCACAAAACCAGAACGGGACGCTGAATGACACCAAGTTGAATTAAAACAAAAAGCCCTTGAACAATACAGACGGGATGATCCAAACAAAAGATTCCATACCAGAGTTGGAAGCTGAGCCAAACAAATCTTTCATAAAGGAAAGCCAAGAGTCAAAAAAACAGGAGGAAAAGCAAGAACCCAGACGGCATTCCAAAATGAGAACAGAAAAAGTACCCAACAAAATAAAACATGAAAAATATGATCACAGAAATAACGTAAGAACAAGAAAATTCAAACAAAAACAAAACGCAGGACTAAAAGGAACCAAACTGTCCAGATACCAAGGACTCACCAGGATCAGAAAATAAAAAGACCCCGGGGCACGGGGAGACCAGGGAATTTCACGCCGCACACCACCCAGGAAAATGTGCAGCTTCCACTAGACAGAGAAAACTCAGCAGACAAGATCAGAAACCAGCACAGGAACTGATCTTCCGAGAACGGCACTGAAAACAACGCTTTCACGGTTCTGAGCAAACACAGATGTTTTTTTCTCTCTTTTCCTTTTTTTTTTTTTTCTGAGATGGATTCCTGCTCTGTCGCCCAGGCCGTAGCTCGATCTTGGCTCACTGCACACTCCACCTCCCAGGTTCAAGCGATTCTCCTGCCTCAGCCTCCTGAGTAGCTGAGCTTACAGGCGCCTGCCAACACGCCGGGCTAATTTTTATACTTTTAATAGAGATGGGGTTTCGCCGGGTTGGCCAGGCTGGTCTCAAACTCCCAAACTCAGGGGATCCACCCGCCTCCGCCTCCCAAAGTGCTGGGATTACAGGTGTGAGACACCGCACCCGGCCTACAAATATGGATTTTCAATCTAGATTTTTATACCCCACCAAACTTCTAACTATGAGGGTAAATAAACTCATTTTCAGGCAATCAAGGACTTCCCCCATCCCCGAAAAAAATCATCTATTTCTTCCAAAGCTCCCAGAAGTTCTGCTCCGACAGCAGGAAGAGGAAAAGACGGCCACACTGGGAACAGAGGTCAGCCACAGGGCAGCAAGGACAGGAAGGTTTGGGACACCAGCTCCACCCAGGCAGAGCACAATCAGTCCCATTCGGAGGAGGAGGATACGGGGGTCTTGGAGGGCAGTGGGGAGGGGGAGATCAATTCATTTAAACCTGTGCAAAACACAACTGATAGGTGTGAGATGCTGGAGCTTTGTGGGGAAATAAACAAACAGTAGGGAAAAGAA